TGAAAGTATGATATTGCCTGTCCGAGTAGATACTGTTAAGAAATTAGTTTATTTCCCATTTATCTGTTCAAGATGAATCATGTACTAATAATTAGAAAATGTCAGCATTGGAAGACATACACAATATGCTTTGACTATTCAATTTCTTTTTCTGAGATAAACACCAACTTACTTCCACAAGCCAGTCGACAAGGATTCCTCGCATACTTTGTGTGATATCTCGCTGGAGTGTTTCCATGAAATTTGATTGTGGCCTTTTAATTAGCTGGAGAAATACAAATCAGACTTTGTATTAGGATAAAGTTACAGTTCTCTACTGTCACCTGAAAAGACTAGGGAAATACTTGACACCATTATCCCAAAACAAGGAAATCTCAGAAGTTATACAAGTTGAGGTTTGGATTCAGAAATCTATGCATATAGTTATTAATATGCAGAGAAACATTCCAATAAGTAGGTAGCATACTCAGCGTCACTATTCTAGAGCTAAAGCATCCAGCATTCTTTCAAAAGTGAACATATGTCGAATGTACTAAATTGGTTACAGCTACCACTGATATTATAATCAAAAGTCGAGCATTGATGGCGATTTGTCTAACTTGAATTTTAAAGCAAAACGGGGAAAAAGCATCCTTGAGTCAGTTGTGCAAAGATGACCTTTGCCAAAGTGTCAGTTACTTTTTCATTCTAAAAGCTCCTAGCTGGAAAAAGGACCTATCTTGTCAGAGAAAACACAATTTTACAACAGCGTAAACAATGAAGAAATCCACAAGAACAGTGCAAGAATATCAATTCAACGAACCTCTGCAACCCGGAAATTGTTATATATCTCAAGAGCATATTGGCTGCATTGTTGTGGATCCTTTTGATCAGAATCAATGTCTATGAAGTCCAGCTTTGTTGATGTCGATGGTGCTGCATCATGAACAGCTTTCTCAACTGTTCCCATTAAAAAGTTCAATTATTTTAGTAAGCAAAAGGAGTAAAATAACAGACCAACATAGTTGCAGTAACATGGAAACACAGGAAAACTAGTAGATATAAATCTGTTCTCCAAAGAAAAATGTCAAAGATATACATTTGCGTACACACTACCCTCCCCAGACCCCACTTATGGGATTACACTACGCTTGTTGTTGTTGTTGTTGTAAAGAAAAATGTCAAAGAAAGCATGATGGAGAACTCCTGTTATTAGATTTAACGTAGAAACATATTCACTTAGTACTCAGGAATAACGTACAAAGATAAGACCAAGGCTTCCTCTATGATTTATAAATGTTACTACAGAGAAATCATTTGTTATCGTTATCTCTCTTTCTTTATGATCCTGTATAGTCAGTACAACCACAAGTTATCAAAAGTTGTATTGTTTCAGTGAAACAAATTAAAAAGGAAACTAACATCGTCTTGAAAAACTTTTGATTTCTGTTGGATTTCCTTGCTGTTGTTCATGGAACTTTCTATCTGAGCAACTTCGATATATGCTATTCCCTGCAGTTAGTCAAATCAGGTGATATTCATAACTGGCTCAAATAGTACTTCTCATATTAGAAAGACATGCTCTCAGCCTACTTGGTGGTAACTTGGCTGGAAATTGATGGACCTCAGCGTCGACTGAAGTGGTCACTTTAGACACATTCAGAGAACTGTTTCCAACTCGCATGATCTTCTTCTGAAAATTATATAATAAACTAAATCAGATGATAAGAGGAATAAAATGAACCAGCAGGAAAGCATACACAATATCACCAAAGCTTTATTGGGATGAAATAGAAGCACATAAAGACATAAATCCTTGAATTAGCTAATGCACCTTAGTATTCTCTATATGCAATATTTCAGATCAATTCAAAACTCTTTCTGATATTTAAGGGACTCTACAACAGTCAACCTATGAAACTTGTTTCACGTTGTGTCAATTTTAACAACAACAACAACAAACCCAGTGAAATCCCACAAGTGGGGTCTGGGGAACCTTACCCCTACCTTATGACGGTAGAGAGGCTGTTTCCGAAAGACCCTCCGTTCAAGAGAAGTAAAAATGAAGCAATAAACAAACAGTAGCAACAACAAGGTAATAAGACACGGGATTGTGTCAATGACAATGTAGATAATATAAGTAAAACAGACGAACTACTAACTGGGACTTTGGCAGCATTGAGGCGTAGATTTGTGACATCCTTAAGCACTGCCCGGCATTTCTTCTCCACAAGTGGAGCATTCTTCTTCCTCTCCCTGAGGACTGCTGTGTTAGAATTTATCTGCAGAGAACGTTTCTGACCCCGTGGGTTTGGCAGTTCTGCGCAGCGTGCAAGCATGGATTTTTCAGGGGCAGCAGCTCGAGATCTTGTAATTCGAACCATGGACTCGTTTTCAGCAGAGATTACTGAATTTTCTCTCTTCATAGTAAGTGGAGGCATGGAAATAGGCTAGTCAATTTGCTCTTAAGTTGAACTGATCGCTCATTTACCTGCAAACTTGTGAAAATTAGTAACATGTGATATCAATAATCATGCAGCTCAAGAAAAGTACATACTAAGAGTGGCAACAGAATTTTAATTCACATCTATCAAAGCAAGTGAAACTATGATTAGCATAGATTACCATAAATTTTTGTTTTCTTGCAGCAAAAGAAACTGTACTCCCTAATTCCTATTTTTATCAAACTATATTGACATAACATTTCCTTAAGCAGATTTTGGAATTAGCCAAGGAAAACTTTTAGCTTCAACTTAACTAAATTTTGTTACCATAATAGCTCTATGACCTTGCTCATAAGAAACGGTCCAAGATTCAAGAATTCAAATTCAGAATATAATACCAATCAAAATGACGTGCGCACAAGAAATACCCAAGATTCCATACTCAAATTCATAAAAATTATAATCCACTTATGAAAATGTTTTCAATTTAAACAGCAGGCACCTCACATCAAGAATTCAAAATGTTGCTCAAAATCAAACTACACTCTCCTAAAAGTAACGTTCAAAATACTTTCTTTACCAAACATCTACACACTTAAAACCCAAAAAGGAAATCCGCCTACATTCTTCTTCTTTATTTACACAACCACATCTTGAAAACTCCAAGAATTCAAATTTATTAGACAACTCACTTGAATCAAATAGAAAAAAATAACAATGTAAAAACGGCGACTTAAAATTTCATTATTTCAAGAAACTACAGAGACCATATTAACAATGTTATTAAATAAAAAAAGTAGATTAGGTACCTTGTTCTGCAATCTCAGCTTCAAGAAAGTGATCAAGAAAAAAATGGAGATTGAACTGTAAGAGGCGGGCTGTTGAGTTTAAAGTTCAAACTCAAGAAATAGAAAGGATGAGAAAATACAAATAAAAAAGAAAGTGAAATTAGATATCCAAATATATATATTTCTTTATCTTGGATTTACAGTAATGGCCTCTGACATAACAGAAAGAGGTTTGACTCGTTTGACCAAAACGGTTTTATAGGAGGAGACGAGGAGTTGTTTAGTTTAATATGTTTGGTTATTATAAGGTAACCCGGTCTAAAATGTAAATTGCAAAGGCCATCCTAGCTGGCTATTTTATTACCGACNACCCCCCCTCTTTGTGAAAATTATACACATTTGGTCCTTATCTACTCATAAATTTTAATTTAATATTGTTCCTCATGATATTTGATTAACCACAACTTTCAAGTTACAACTGATTGAAAATGTGCTTTCCGAATGATTCCACCAATGTTCTCAAAAGTTAAAATGAATTGTGCAATTGTTACTTGCTACGTTAAATAAAGTTTAATTTGGTATTTTTACTCACACTATTAGGAAATATATTATACACTATCATTTTTGAAATCTATTTTGCTCAAAATATGAGAAAAAAATCAATAATATTTTCCCTAAGTATACCACGAGCTGACATAGTTTTGTACTTGAATATTTGTAAGATGAATGAAAATCCATATACGATTGTGCGACAAAGAATGATAATAGAAAATATAAAAAATTCTTAATTAATATTCTCTTGCATTGTTACTTGGCTACTGTTACACCTCACTACGTCAAAATTATACAATGAGTTACTAAAGTGACCTTAATGCCATATTTTTAGCATACTTAAACCCAGTGATAGACCCAAGTGGTGGATAGCGGGTTCAATTGAATCCCTTTCACAAAAAAATAATAAATTAGGATTAAAACTGTGTAAATTTTGCATAAATATTTTATTTGAACTCACTTGATAATTACTATTTTACTACTAAATATATATACTTCTAAGATTGAACCCGCTTGCACAAAATTCTGGGTCTGTCACTGCTTAAACCATAATTAATGAGTCATCTTATGCGTATCTCAACTGCCAACTTAATCCTAACCACAAAATTTAAGGGACAAGTGCACAAATAGTCATTTTCAAGAATGTTATTCAGGGATTAGCTAGTACTTATTTTGTATTGAAATTTTAAATTAAAAATCTTAACTTCAGGACATTTTAGTCTTGAAAAACACAAATTGAGAATGCACTAGCTAATTCCTAAATAACAACCCTTTAGAGTTGCTACCTAGTTTGTACGAAATTTAAAGATGATGGACTCATACTTAAGTGTTGTAACTAATTCCAACCTTATATTTCTAGATTACTCGCATACCTCAGCCACTAGGTCATCCCATTGGAGACAGGTGCCATGTTTCAATTGTATACCATAGCACGTCCATTAAGTGAAAATACCGTCCCTTAGAAGTCCATTTTTTTTAGCTTAGCTAACATCAACCTATAATTAAGTGGAGAACGACAGAGGAGCGGGCCGATTATCTACCAAGTTTTAAACCGTGTGCCATTAGACCTAGGCAATTTCTGACAACCTGGTAGTTGACCTATATGTATAAATAGTTCCAAGAGACAGGCTCAGAGATATATGAGACACTTCCACTATCCATTTAAGAAAATCAGGTACATATGAGTACTTTATTTGAAACTATACAAATGGCAAGTTTTAGCCTGCAATTCCAATGATCAAGTTGCAAAGCTGAAAACCCCTTTCAATTATTAAGGATTAAAAGTGTCTTTTCCTGTGTTGTTGATGACTGGTGTCCAGGAGAACAAGCTGATACTAATTTTTACTCGAGAAAATCATGAAACCATTCCACTATTTACCAGTTCTTCCAAACCTTTTCTGAGCCTTTCGGCAGCTACCCGGCAGTCTTTTTCGATCAATCCTCCGAAGGAGATCCTAACATGACCTGGACAACCGCTGGAACTTCCGGGTATCAGGACTATTCCATGCCTCTTAGCTAGCCAGTGAACTACTTCGAAGTCGTTCTCGTATTTATCTGGAAGCTTTGCCCACAGGTAAATGGCACCTTCTCCCCCTTTAACAGCTCCATCTCCCAAAGGAGATAAAGCTTCTAGGAGTAGCTCTCTGTTCTTGACAAGGTCTTTTACTTGATCAGTTACCCACTCTGGTCCCATTTCCATCGAGTAAAGAGCGAGTCGTTGAGAGATTATAGAAGCACAAATAGGTATGTTGTCCTGAACTTTTAGGAGTTGAGCTGCGAGCCCCTCCACTTCCGATGGGTATGCTATCTGCATCCATTAAGACACACAAACAGGTTTTAGTATTTTGTGAGTTTAGAATCTGAAGTAAACATTCAGTACAAAAGTTCGCGGAGGAATTCACTGCAAAATGTATGTGTTGCAGCCAAAACATGTAGTAAAGCAATTATGTCTCAATTTCAATAAGTCTCATCCGTTGGAACAACTTGCTTTTGTCGCGAAAGGGAACTTAAATTTGGTAGTGATTGAGACCAATTTTATACCATATAATCCCAGCAGATTCCTCAGTCAGGCACAAATGAAAGCATGCAACAGTATTCTTTAGAAAAGTTAATGACTGGCAAGGTGAGATTAATCAGAGGTGGCGTACTTACTGATTTTTTAAAATAGATGTGCGAGTAAAGACAAGAGGGAGTTCACGAGGCAAGGAGATGCATTTGCGGAAAACAAAGAAAAATCATCTTTCAAACACTATCAAGAGTCAGCCAGCAGAATAATAATCACTTTTTTGCCTGACAAAATTTTTATGTCTAAATATAAGTTAGAACAAGCATCACTTACATATCCAACTCTCCATCCCATCATCCCATAAGCTTTAGAGAAGGAAAAGATGTTGACTATGTGGTTTCCTTCTATGCAAACATGTTTGCGATCATCATACATGAAATACCTGCAAATGACTTGCTACATATATATAAGAACATATCATTCAGGAAAAATACTAAATCACAAGCAAAGTGTACTGAACAAAGTTACAAGAAAAAAGAAGGAACAGAGACGATGCTTGATAGAATAAGATAAATGCATTCATGGAGGAGCATAGACTCAATAGCAACGTGTCTTCATAATTTAGCTCTTCACAAAGCCAACTTTCCAGGTCATCTAATAATTGAGAACAAATAGCAACAAATGGCCGAAAATACAGATAAAAATCTTAGACATGTTCAGTGAAGTGTAATGACAAACTGGTTGCTTACTGGACTCTGAAAATTAAGATTCAGATTGATTTCTCTCTCAAACAAATTTAAACCTGATCATTCTGTCACCTCAGCTATTTCCTTTCCTTCTCTTCTTAGCAGTTACAATTATCATGCAACAGATCCCAGGATAGCATAAATTTTGTTGCCTATCAAATTTAGTGCAGTCTGAAGTTTCTTTACCAAACTAGTCCTAGTGTATTGCCAACTGTTTGAAACCAACACCCCTAAAATGTTGGATATGTATGTTCAGTTTCACAAAGCATAAAAAAAGTTCTCATAATGCAACAAAAATCAGCAGTATTTTAGGACCACTCCATTCAACAATTACTTTCCTCATCATCTTTAATTCTAAGACCGTCATCATTCGTCCATGGACGAGAAAATGAAATGGCAGCAGTCATTAACAGCAGGTTCTCAAGTCAATATGAGAAACTAAAAGATTCATATACGACAAGAAAAAACACTTACTCATAAGTATTATCAATTACGAGCCAACATCCCGCCTCTTTACAAATATCAGATATCCTCTATATGACCAAAAAAAAAACCTTTTAATGTTTCAATAAAGTAAAAAATCACAAAAGAATATCTACTGAATTTTGAATAACTGACGACTTCGTTCCATCCATTCATCTATAAAGATGAGATAAAGACCTTAAGAAGGGACTCAGGCATATATGTTCCTGATGGATTCCCCGGATTAACAACAGTCACAAGCTTTGGGGTTGGTACAGTGTTCTTTAGAGTACTCTCCAACCAGTCTGAAATTGAGAAATCATGGAATATGTTAATGGATACACAATGAAATAAAGAAGCAGATAATGTTTGAAACTCTCAAGTCCACTATGCAAAACGGTGATGATATTCTGGTTAACAGTATGCATCAAAGTATCAAACTATAAGTTATAATGTACCCAAATCAGATAGTCAATTGGGCATGAGGCTAACTACTTTTTTCTTTTATCTTTTTTCTTTTGGGTGGTGTGGGGTGAGGTGGCATATTATGAACAAATAACCAGAAGCGATGGCGAGAAGAATATAAACCATTTGCGGTAACAGCAAATGGTCACTCTCACTTAACTGGATCATTGTCAACTGGACAAAAGACAGAAGGAGTGCTCTCCGGACAACAGTCTAAAATCCTAGACCACTATTGAAGTAGTTTTAGATTCAGAGTAGAGGAAATTTGTGAGAAGTTTCAAGCAATGGGAAAACAAAATAACTCCTAGTAAATATGGATGATTACGATCAATTGCCAAGTGGTAAAAGGATAAAGATAAAAATGCTTGGGCATTCAAACTTGGCCATGCAAGCTAGCACAGAAGAGATATATATAGACACAACATCTAGCATAATCAATCTTAAGGTAAACTAATGGAAGGAACCTGCATCCGGATGAAGTGTCTTTGCATCACCAGGACCCACCAGAATATCGGTAACACCTGTCATCTGGAACGACATGTATGCATTGAAATAGTATGGTGCAAACATAATGACTGAATCGCCAGCATCACACAGTGTGAGAACGACGTTTACAAAAGCCTGGAATTATTTAGTTTAAGGCTCCATTAGAGATTTCTTAGCAATGGGTATACAGCTAGCCAAAAAGTAGTCACAAACAAAGAACAAATACATGTACACAAACTAATTCATCCTAAAAATGTAGCATTTCCATTCCACCACAAATGGCTCTTTGACATAGCTCTACTATCCGCATTCAGCTTAAGATAGAACATTAAAAGAGCAACGCCCTACCTGATTTGCGCCAGCAGTAACCATAACTGACGATTTATGTAAGCTATTTTCACGCCCCAACTGGAGAAAGGAACAAAGAAAGTATTAGACGGGAATAAGTAAAAACCGAAATCTCAATGAATGAACAATATGTGATTTGAAGAAATGAAATGAGCCCAATTTCATTTGCAGCCATAACTACTGTTTCACTAAGCAAAGTACCCTAAGCCACTCCAAATTTTGTTCAACTACCCACCACCTTATAAGATGCAAACCAGAGTAATCCAACTGATAAACCATACCTTTTTCGTCAATGCCTCCCTGAGCTCAGGAAGCCCCTCATCGGCACCATAGCGACTAACTGAAGGTTCCCAGATAATTTCTTTCACCTTATTCAGTGCTTGTGCAGGTGGTTGCCAGTACACTACCCCCTAAAAGGCAAAGAAAATAAAATAAGATGATCCCAAAATGGATAGACAGAAAACAAGGACATGCTATAATCAGGCAAAACAGAAAAGTCCACCCACTGACAGATAGTAATTTGTTTCTTCCTTTTGTTTACTCTTTGGTGTCGGTTCAGTACACTTCCTTGTCAATAGATTGGTCCTCAGAGTCCTGAGAGTACCAGTCCTTTCTAGACAGCCTAATAATAGAAGGATAACTAAGGGGTAACTAATCTCTCACAACTGATTATTCTTCTGTATCACTGCATACTTATTGGTTAACCCAAAAAAAAAAAATCAAAAGAACAAAAGTATGATAAGTCGTTTCTCCACATGAAAAGGACAAACGGGCATGGAACATACTAGAAAGGAAGTTTTGTAACCCCAATGATTATGGGAGAGCAACAACAATATCAACAAAAAAAAAAAATCAGTGCGTACGCAAACCTTACCCCTAGGGTACAAAGGTAGAGAGATTGTCCAATGATCATGGGAGAAACCCGAGAAAATTTCTTTTGCAAAACCAGAATTTCAGGCAATTTAACTTGACTTCGCAAACATCAGAGAAATTTATGGATCAACCGTTCCTCCAGTAAAAGCTTAAGAAAGAATGCCGACCTTATACCAGCAATGCTACATATGCTCTTGGTCCATAGCCCACCCACCTACCTACCCCTTTAACCCATTCTGAGCTCAGTGGAAATACATCCTTTAAATGGGAGGGAAGTCCAATTGGAATTTTTGTTTTCCATTGCTGGCTTATTCTATATATTAAGCAATTCATATTTCAACTGAAGGAAATTAAAATTGATAACCTTAAGAATAAGTTTGGCCAAAATTCTAACACGTCAGACAAGTCAATTTAATCTAAGTTAATCTAATCAAGATTTTGAAGTGCACAAAAGATGATTTGTAATCTTAGAACAACAAGGATGAGTAATCACAGTTCTCAAGTTTTCGAACCTTTCAATTAAGAGTGGAACAATAAAATAAAAATAGTAGAAAACAAGGTACTCTAAAACATTGGAGAAAGTAAACAAACCTGAGCTAGAGAAATACAACCTTCAACACCTCGAACCAATTCTTGTATCTACAAAATTGCAAAACACAAAAAAAACCAGCATATCGATTATGAAAAAAATTCAATCTTTATCATCCCATTAATGCACAGAAACCTAAACCAAACCAAAAACAACATATCCAATCAAAGGTCAGGATTCACTTATTCCAATTACCTGAACCATAACTGGTGTATTAGTCAGCACTGCTCTCCTAGCCAGATTCCCAATAGAACCCATTTTCTCTCTCTAAAAAAAATTTAGTAGCAGCACAAAGGACCTTTTCCTTTCTGAAAATCTTAGCTTGGAACTTTTGAATATAAAAAGCGATACTAAGAGATATACAAATTGGATCTTTTTGTGTTTAATTAATTGAGTAAATTTGACTGCAAGAGACAAACTGCAACTAGGTGAGTTAAAAGAAAACTTGCAAATAAAAGTGGAATAGCTGGCAAAGGCAAACGAACGCCAAAAAGACGGAACACGCTTTTTGTATTTTTCTGTTTCATCCACGTTATTATACCATAAGTTACGAATCTCTTTGACTGTAAGAAGTTGAACTACTGTCCATTAATTTGGTAGAGAAAATGAAGGAACACTTTCTTTGATTCTCTCTTTCTTCTGTTTTTCTTTCTTCTTTTATTCTTTTCCTTCTTTAAATGGTGGTTTTCTTGACCCTATCTCCACCTACTGTCAATTCTTTGGCAGCTAAGCTGTATCACTTAAATCTCTAATTAAATTTATTTTTGGTAGGTAAATCTGTAATCAAATTCTAAAATGTTTACTATTAATTGTCTCCTTAAATGTTAATATAAGTAACTAGTACTAGTACGATAATATTAAAAATATGAATCGTACCAAATTATGATTTTACTTGTTTGAGCACACGAGATTATATTGCTTTAACAAAATTAAATTATCTTCTTTTTCTTATTTCAATACCCGATAGATAAACTCTATGATGTCGTACTTTATTCTAAAAGTAATGTTGAACTATTCTAAAAACATAAATATTAGTAGAAGTTCTTGATATTAAAAGATCCACGCCATTGTTTATTCTTTAACCCATATATATATATATNAATAGAATTTTATTTTTATGAAACAAAAAGCTCATTGGTACCCATGAACAACATGGGTTTATTTTGCTAATGGGTATTTTTTTAATTGAAATTCAAAAACTAATGACACTCGACTCAAATATTTATCTTTTAATTCAGATTAAAAAATAATTACACTTAATTCAAAAATTAATCACACCCAATATTGTTATATTGCCAATTAATAATTGTCAAAAATTTACCATGTGACTTTTCAATAGCTTTGTCACTCAGCTTAATATCTTTATTGACTATTCTCCTCTTATAATAGTTCTTAAGATTGGTTATGCTTTAACACATATCTAAATGCTTAGTAGTCAATTTATCATTTATATGATATTTTATGATTCATTTCTTGCTAATGAATAAGAAGAGTTCGACATTCTTGACAACTAATTTTCAAATAACTATGTCAAGCTAAAAAAAAAAAAAAA